GTGCGGGTTTGTGCGCCGCGCACCTCGGTGTCGCAGAGCTGCCGGCCCCGAACTCTTGCCGCGGCGCTGGGGATGCTGCTCCTCTTGCCTGGCCACATCTCCGCTTCCTCCCATTTCCGAGTTGCCCCTGTGTTGCAGAGTTAGATGGTATCGAGACAGATTTATTTTTGGGGACTCAGGAGCGAAGTCGGGAGGAAGGCACTTGGTAATGCGGACGAAAGTTGACAGCTGGGGCCCGTCACACAGTTTAGTATTTATTTCCTCTCTCCTTTAAAACTTTAAAGCCCGTGTGACTTTTAAAGTCCTGAGAAATGGGTTCTCAGAAAACAAAGAGTAGTACCCAGTAGCTGTCAGGGACTCGCACCCTTCATCATAACAGGTGGCCACAGCGTTCCTCTCAAATTCTAATTCTTCCTGCACTGGGAGAGGAGTTTGTCTTTCTTTGGTTGACTGCTTAAATATCAAAAGGTGCTAGGCATACCAGTATTGTGTGCTCAGTGGGAACGTAGGAAAAGTCTCTAGTGAAGACTTCGGTTGTACAAGATGAGCTCACACTTTGGAATCCGAGAAATATGGAAAAGGGAGTCTCTCTGAGCTTCAGATGCCTGCTAGCATCTGCCTCAAGCGGTTGTGAGAATTAAAGGCTAGAACACGTGAACCTCTTAGCACAGGGATGGATAAATATTAGCTATTATTAAGGAGCTTGTCTGTTTAATTATCAGTTTCAGCTGTCTTTGGAGGTTCCGAAGTTATTTTTACTAATGGCTGCTTTATAGCAACACTCATTCATTGCACCGTTATCAAATTGTACTTTGTGTTACAGGGGCTGAGTGAATACCAGAGAAACTTTCTGTGGAAAAAGTCCTATCTGTCAGAGTCCTGTAATTCTTCAGGGGTGAGAAAATACCCATGGGCTGGACTTAGATCAGATCAATTAGGTAAGCTGAGCAAACTAACAGGCCTTATAGTTTGGATATATACCTTGGACTAAGTTTACAAAATGATTTATTTCAGGCCCAGTGGCCGGTTTGACACATTCATTTATTTAATAAATATTGTGAGATTTCTATGGCCCCCATTTCCCCGTTGTAGGAATATAGCCCTGAACTAGACAACGTCCCTTAACGATGGAGACAATAAACGGGTAACTCAATAAATAAACAAGATTTCAAGTTGTGTGTAAAATAATAGAGGTGTGATGGGTAATACGAGGGAGTTGTGTTAGAAGGAATACACGTTAGACTGAATGGTCAAGAAAGGCTCCTCTGAGGAGGTGGTGTTTGACCTGGTACCTGAAAACAGAGGGAGGGGACAAGCCTGGGAAAGAGGTTCCTCAACTCTTCAGGAATGGAAGCTTAGGGAGATTAGGCAGCTTGCCCCAGGCGCGGAGTAAGTGGCAGGGTTATAATTTGAAATCAAGCCTGTTTTGTTTAGAGCTCTTAAGTTTAGAGGTCATGTTCTTGTCATTACACATCCTTTCTCCTCGAACTCTAAGCTAGTAATTTCCAGAGAATGACAGAAGGGATACTGACTTTATTGTTCTTAAAATTTCTTCCTCAGAGATTGTAAGATCTCTGAGAGTAGGGTTCTTTCTCCTTGGTCCTTCTCAGTATGTAACTCAGAATCTTGGGATACTCTACTGCTTATTAAAACTTTTCTGTTTAAAAAGTTTTTATTACTACATGCTTCAGTACATAATGATTACATTCATCGTGGTGAGTTGGTACGTTACACGTCTTAATGCTTTCTTCATTGCCATCTCCTCTCTCCCCCGTCCCTTTTTCTCTTGGTCTATCTATTTATTTATTTTTTGTATTGGGGATCTAACTCATGATCTTGCAATTGTGAGGCAGCTGGCAGAACCACTGAGCTAAATCCCTGTCCCTCTCTTGGTCTAATTTTTAAATGAATGAATAAACCTAAGTTTGAATCCATGTAACTGCATGACATTGGGCAAGTGAGCCTGCTTTCACAAGGGGGGCTTGTACGGGATTGCTAGGAGGAGCTAAAGGAGACACTGTTAAGGGCCTGGTATATATACACAGGCCAGTGCTGTGTGCTCCTTAGGTGAAGTGTGAGAATGACTGATGTGTGGTAGGTAGAGCCCTCATGTGATCAATTATTAAAGCCAGAATTGGGTACCAGGCTAGGAAATTAATAAAATAAGGAGAATTTTTAGAATTAGGTTTGGTGACTAAAGAGTAGGTAAGAGCAGGTCCCTCTGAAATATAAGGATGCTTTAGCCCAGGGTTTGACTTTTGAGATGAAGTGTCCCTGATTCTCAGGCAGTGGGCTAAGAACTTGTGCTTATAATCCTGTTTTCGTAAAACCAGAATTTTCATGGATTTGAGGCTCCATTAGATTAAAAATGCAAAATGAATTTTGCTTAAAGTATAGCTATCTGACTGAAGGCCTACAGAGAGAGAGAGAGAGAGAGAGAGAGAGAGATGGAATGCTGGACAGTTGGCTAACTACTCAGTTGGCCCCCCCCCATTAGCATTTTAGGTTAGGTTACTACATTTGGGGGAAAGTGATGGAGGAGACCATTAGATGAGAGCGAAGCCACACTGGAGAACAGTATGTTTTGAAGGAAGGAACAGTCTCAGGAGGATTGTCAGTGGGAGATTTAGGAAAGCGTGAGGAGTGGATTGAGAGCTCCAGGATGCTCAGAAACAGAGGTAGGTTACCAAGGAGCAACAGCAGTTTTACCTAGGGCTGGCTATACATTCATTCTTTTTTTTTATGTATTACAGATTTTAAGCAATATATTTGTTACATACATTCATTCTCTTAATATAATGTATTTTTTTTTCTCTTGAGGATTTGTTGGTGCTGGGAGATAAAGGACAAACCATTTGAGAATCTTGTCCCAAATTTTTATTTTGCTCATCTATCCAAATCCTGATTCTGTGTTAAAGCAGAGAGAAGTCTAAGGCAGTAGCCTCTAAACATTTTTTGCTTTCATACTTCCTAAAAGACTTTAGAAAATCTTTTGTCCCACTCACACATTTTTCGATTAATTTTTTTATTCTAAGTTTTTACAAATTATTTAAAAGGATATGCTTTAGCTCATTTAACTTAGCCATTTAATTTATGGGATATGTTCATCAGATAATTGGGAAACTCTGTTCTTATTGGCAAACTGAGCCACCAATCAGTGTTTTTTCTGTGAGAAAAAGTCTTAATCTTTCAATTCAAAATTAATGTGCATATGTGCGTTTCATATGACTACCCTCTCTCATACCTGAATTTCACTTCTAAGATATGTAGATGGAAAAAAGACCCAGGCTGTCTGATGCTGTTTTATTTTTTCTACTCTCTGCCTTTGCTTTCCTGTCAGATATTCTCCCTGAGGAATAATGCTTTCTTGAGTTGTCCCTTTGTCTGTGCCCTCACTCCTGAGACTTTGTTATACAATGGGGTGATGTGCCGTGGGAGGTTCCTGGTTGGTGGAGAGATGTGTCTGTCGTGGGAGTAGGATGACTGTGGAAGGGGTGATGGGAAAAGGAACTGCAGATGGCATGTGCAGCCCTCAGGCAGATAGATCAGTGTCAAGCAAGAGTACACGTGGAGTTTTGCATCTGGAAAATGGTAGTATCTGTTTATCCACTGCATGTTTTAATGTGCCCAGGCATATACACGCCCATTTGGAGACCACTGTTACAGGGCAGCCTGTAAAGACAGGAATCCTGGGTTCAATGGCAAAGCACCCATACAAGAGGCTGAGAAGTGTTGGGCTTTGCTTCATGCTGTATTTTTGTCTACTTTCCATTTTGTTCGTAAATCTTCCTTCCCCACCCTGCAGTAGTCTTCTTCTATTTAAAGAGTGGCTACAAAACTAGGGCAGTATCTTAGTGGCTGCCATCTGCAGAGCTCATTTTTAACCTCAGTAGAAGGTAAATGTTTGGACATTTGCTTGCCAGACAGAAATATAGAGAAATTGTATCTTAGCTTTTGTTAAAAGGCTTCATTCCTTTTAATTTTCAGGAAATCGAGGCAAAAGTAGAACCAAGATCCAGCATAATGTCATCTCATCTCTTCTCATCCTCCTCTACATAAGAGAACCTTTGTGAAAAGTTCCAAATTTTGACAGACCAGGGCCCTTTGTTCTGTTAAGTAGCACAGGAAAGTAATTGGAAACGGAGGCAGCGTGTACTGCTGGGCTTGCCAGGGCCATCATGTTGCAACTCAAGTGACTTGTATGAAGATCTTGAACATTGTGACCTCAATTTTTAATATTTCATATAGTTAAACTTTTAATACTTCTTTAAGCCAAAATTAAATATTTTATGTTTAAAAACTATGTTTTTTAATTCTATAGTCTGAAGGAAATTGTGTTATATGCATATATCGATTGAGTTTTGAGTTCAATTTCAACTTTCATAAGTGTTATTAAAAGTCATCTTTGTAATTGTACTTTGCTAGCTTTTCTTTTTGTATACTATGTTTTGCAGGGATCACAAAAGAGCCAGGTTTTATTTCAAAAAGAAGAGTCCCTTACCATGACCCACAGATTTCAAAATCTCTCAAGTGGAATGGAGCTATATCAGAGAATAATGTGGTTGTATCACCAGAACGTGAAGCCCCAGAAACACCAAAATCAGAGGCAGAACAAAAAGAAGATGTCAACCAAGAAAGAGTTCTTTCACTAGGGGCCTCCCGGGTCCCCAAGAGAACCAGATCTCATTCTGCAGACTCCAGAGCTGAAGGGGCTTCAGATGCTGTGGAAAAGAACGAGGATGTAGTAACAGACCACATACTGGTGAATGAAAATGTGGAGCAGGAACATTCTACCAAGTTGCTTTCAGAAAATGTAGATAATGGGGTAGGCACAAATCAAAAATTTTTTTAAATTTCAAAAGCATAGAATTCCTTATTGGTTTCACCATCATTTCAGGAATATTATGTTCCATTGTTATTTTTTGTCTCTATTGTACAGTTGATAAGAGGTGTTCACTTTAATTATGGAGAATGGCTCTATTCTGTACACCCAAACTTTTGTACTGGTTGTTAAGATATGCTTTCACTGAGTGGATAGCCTGCTTCTGGATTTTCTTCATTGTAGATCAGCACTTGAGTCCTCAGGGACAGATCAGGTTGAGACAGAAGGGGAGTAGGCCATTACTTCTGGCAGGGGTGCTGAGATGACTTCTACCTATCACCTTTCCGAGTTCTTATTGTGTACCAGTGGGAAAACAAAGAGTCTCAATTGACAGAAGGAGAATTTTGGCTGGCTCTCAAAGATCTTGCATTTCTGCTCTCTTATATCATAGCTAGCCTGGGGCAGGTCTGTGAGCACATAAGCAGAGGCTGCAGGGGCCTGTGTGTGGATCTTACTGCCGCCTACATTTCTTTTTCAATCTACTGCTCCTTCCTTGTTTCACTTCCACCACTGACTGGAACCCTGGAGAGGCATTTGGGAGTCCTGGAGAAGAATCTGGCTTGTTGAAAACGCCAGGGGGTGTAGGGGAATCAAGGACTGCCATATGTGAGTCTGCTGGGTAAAGGTTAGAGATGTCCAGAGAAGAAGTGTGTGGATAAGGCAAGGTGCTTGGTTTTTTTGATAATACATTTAATTTTTCATGGTTGATGGAAAGGGATTGAGAGATGTTATTTTTCTCAGGGATGCATAATAGTTCCTTAATATTATTATGAAAAGAATTTTAAATAGTTTGATTGTTTAGAAAGATATTATGGCCAGGGATGTGTCTCAGTGGTGCTGCACCTGCTTGGCAAGCACAAGGTCCTGAGTTTGACCCCTAGTATTGGGAAGAAGAAATAAAAAAGACTATGTAAAGTTGAAAAAAGTTTGTTGTACAACAATGTGCAAAAGCAATACTGCACATCTATTTAAAATTTGTTAAAAGAACTTTAATGTTATTAAATTTTTTTTTTTAGTTTTAGCACAGTTTAGTTTGAATAGACTTTTTGAGGACTTTGAGTGGATTTTTCTTTTCCTAACAGTTGGATAGACTTCTGCGTAAGAAAGCTGGGTTGGCTGTTGTTCCTTCACATAGTGCCTTGAGAAATTCTGAATATCAAAGGCAGTTCATCTGGAAGACCTCTAAAGAAGCAGTGCCAGTGGTTGCAGCCAATCAGGTAGCTGAAAGGATGTGACGTATTTCTGAATATCATTGTCTGATCTAGTGATGTGTAGATACATAGACCTCAGAACTAAAATAAAGTCAGTACTCAGTAGGCCTGGAGGCAGTTTCTAGAGAACAGATGAGAGTTTTGCTAAAATAACCCTATCACTTATGATTTATAGTAGTAAGATTATACTGTCCTAGGCTACTGATGATCATTGTTGCCAGATCCATCACATACACTAAATATGAGACAGGGTAATGAAAACTTGGGGAAATGGTAAGTTTTTGCATGCCAAAGGATCTTTTTGATTTTTAAATTAAAATTATTCAGTTGGTTTCACTCTATTGTGTTTAGTTGACTAATTTTTTTGGCACATTTCTTTTAAGAAGGCGTACCTACTTTGGATGTTTAAATAAATAACAAAATATGTTTAAAGTACTACAAGAAATGTAATTTAGTCATTGTATCAGATGGACAATAATAGGAACTGACCATTTAACTATATAAAACTTAAAAGCTATAATTATAACTATGCTACTAGATTTTACGCTTGAACACTTTTAATATTGAGGTACCATTTCTAATAAACATTCTGTTGTTTTACTATTACAGTCCTCTAGAAAAATCTTAGACTTTGAAATCTCAGTTATGTTTTTAATCATACAGTATTCAGGCCTTAGTAGGAAATACTACCACTTTTAATATCATGACAGCAAAGTCTTTTCTTTTTCCTTGCCTTTGTATTTTTCTTTACAAACACACGCGCAACTCCCCATACTCTGATATTCATATTCTCTTACACTTCATCGTTCACTTGTATTCATTATATGTCCCTAAAAACTGAGAGGATAATTAGATTCAGCGACAGGAGCATGAATCATTTTACACTAAGATAACACCAGTGATCATATAAATTGTAGTAGCTTTGGGTTTGTTACTAAAGCTGATATAATATTTTAGGAACATGTAAATTAATAGAAAGTGGTATGTTATTAACCTAGTGAATAGGACTTTTGCTTGGTCACAGATGTTTTTGGATAGTAAATGCATCTACAAAAATCACTTATGGCCTGAAAATTATGATTGTTCAATTAATTGTAGAGAATTTAACCTGTAAGGTAGAGCTGATTCAAATCAAAACCCTAAGGGTAATTTTACAAGTTAGTAAAAGCATTGTATAGAAATGTTATTTTTATAGATTTAGAAATATAATATACAATAAATTACAACATCTTCACTAGTAATTTTATTGATTTTATTAGTGAGGGTTTCAAAGGACTTTTTGTGGAAGCAAATTCTCTTTTTAAATCAAAACATTAATTTTGGGATCTGTGAATTGGAGAGCTCTGTGGCAAGCTTTCATTGTTGCTGGTGAGACTCTAGTGGAACTATTCAATTTTATTAGACACCTGTTCTCTAAAAGGATGTCTTATATTAATATGTAAAGGAGTCAGAACAGTTTTTGACTGGGAAATTCTTGAGGTTTTATGATACTAAGAGGTATCCTGTTGGATTGGATCTGTATGAAGATGTGCCTCCTCAGCATGACAAAGCCCCAATACTGTTTGTTTTGCTGAGTACCCCATCTTTTCCATTACTTTCTTTGTAATCAAGGATAATATACCATAAGATGGAAATGACACTGTAAAATATCAAGGGTAGAGGGAAACATTTTAAAACCTGAACATTTTCCTTGATTTAATGAAAAAGCTAAAAATAAAGGAAAAGAACAAAAAAGCAGTTTGAATGTACTAGGAGTTCAAAATATTAAGAATTTTATATTTAATTTTATATTATTTCTGGAAGAAAGAAAATTCATGTCAAGGAGCAAAAAACCCTACATAGTTAATAAGAGTTGCCTTAATAGAGTTAATGTTTATGTTCATATTATTAACATGTACCTATTTTACTTAACATATTACCAAACTGTTGGGAGATGGGTAGGAAACTGAGGAAAAAAGGTAAACACAATTATGATTTATTATTTATTTTGGCTTAAGAATTAATTGATTATAATTATGATTATTCTCTCAAAACGCAATAATGGCTAGAGAAAGTTGAACTTTGGCTATTGTGTGAAATGAAGTTAGAATCAAATAGAATTTTGCTTTTTTGTGTCCTATAATTCAAATACATATATGAAATTTTAAAAGCAGTTGAAGACCTAAGTTCTGTGTTACTCAAAAAACAAAAGAATTAAACTAAACTAATTTTTGTTTTAAGGTTTTCCACAATAAAAGCAAATTTGTTCCACAATTCAAAGGTAACTCAATCATCCATGAAACTGAGTACAAAAGAAATTTCAAGGGTTTATCTCCAGTGAAGGAACCAAAATTGATAAAAGATTTGAAAGAAAACGGAAATCTTGAAACAGTATCTCCTGAGAAGGTATTTGTCAACTTTTAACTTCTAAACAAAACATTATTTTAGACTCTTTGAATTTTCTTTCACCTGAACTTTTTTTTAATAGTCCATTAATTCATTTGTTTATTCATCAAATGTCAGATGTTCATTGAGTATGTTGTTGGATCCAGGAACTGGGTTGCTGCTGAGAGAACAGAGGGATAGCAAACACTTAAACCGCAAGTAGCTCTTATGCTAGTGGAGAGACAGATAGGTAAATGAAAATGACACAATATTTTGGATACTCTGCAATACAGTATGTAAGTCTATTATGTCTAATGTCAAATGATTGGCTTTACAGTAATGTGAGCCCTGGAGGGTAACAGGAATAACAGAAACACACACTTTAAGTAATAGAAATATAGGTGTATATAATTACTGAAGCTTAATTCCATGCCAGTATAGTTCACATACAGTAATTTTCTTCAGTATATAAAACATCTGCTTCTTTTTGTTGCCACTTTTAAGTTGTGACATCAGGCTAAAAAATCATTGTAAATTATAGGAAAATGAAGTTTAAATACTATTTTTGAATTTCTTCTAATGTTGATACCAGATACTTGATGTTTCCTAAAAATAGAAAGTGTATTGACTAAAAGTAAAATTGTGGCCACACAAAGAAGCAGTTGTTGTATACACTGGAGTAAATTATGTGCATTATACCGGCATTAAATTAGCATGCTTAAATTTCACTTCAAAGTGTGTGTGTGTGTGTGTGTGTGTGTGTGTGTGTGTGTGTGTGTTTGGATTTTTTTTGGATCTTTGACATTCTTGGGGAAAAAAGTTTTACATTATTTAGTAAAATATTGTGGTAAATTATTTATCAGAACCTTACATTTAAATACTATAACAATTAAATGAACTGGGTATGGTGGTGCATGCCTGTAATCCCTGCCCCCAAGAGACTGAAGCAAGGAGATTGCTGAGAGTTTGAGGCCAGCATGGGCTATGAGGCCAGCCTAAACTGCGTGGTGAGACCCTGCCTCACACAACAACAACAATAAAATCTAGACTATCAAGGGTCAATCTAAAATGACTAGTCAATATATAGTTAGCTTGTTTATTTAAATAAATATTTGTTAGTCTTTGAATTTCCTTCCATTAGGATCTAAATCTTTATTGTTAGAAAATGCAATTATATCCTGATCTTCAAAATATGAAAACAAACTAGCCAGGCTGTTATGAGGGTACACAACTACAATCCCAGCAGTCTGGGAGACTGAGGCAAGAGAGTCACAAGAAAGAGCCCTGTAAGGGCACCTCCGTGAGTGACACTGTTTCAAAGTAACATGAAAAGGAGGTTGGGGATGTGGCTTGGTACAAAGGCCTTGGGCTCAGTCCTCAGTATTTACACAACAAAAAGAAAAATAAAATGAAATACAAAACAAAAAAATCCACTGGTTTCAAAACATTCTTATGACTTCAAAACATTCTTATAATTTCTGGATCTTTTTTAATTAAAATTTACTCTTTTTGGGGGGTGATGGTGTTGGAGTGCTCTACCACTAAATTACATTCCTACCCCTTTTCATTTTTATTTTAGACAGGGTCTTACAGAGTTGCCCGGTGGGACTTAAATTATGATCCTCCTGTCTCAACTTCCCTCAGTGCTAGGATTATAAACTTACTTCTAAAGACACTAATGTAATATCCAAACCTAACTTTGTAACACCTATTTTTTTACTTTAATGTATAACATATTTCAACCATAAAAGCTTAAATTATTTCTATTTTAGTATAATAAAATGGATGATCCTTTAAAATTTGAAGCAGAGATGGCTTCACAAGATTCAAACGAGCCTAAAAAAAAGCTTTCTCCTTGGAGACATCAAAGGCTTGGGTATGTGTTTTTCAAGAAAAATATAGTATTTAGATTGTCAACCTAGCAAAATACTTACTTTCGTTTCATCTTTGTTAGGAAGGTGAATTCTGAATATAGAGCAAAATTTCTGAGCCCTTCTCAGTATTTATATAAAGCTGGATCTTGGACACGTGTGAAGGAAAACATGCCAAATCAGGTGGGTGTCCATAATTTCACATTTTCTTGTAGCACATACAACACTTAAATTTCACAGTGAGTTTCATTTAGTAATAGAGGACTATAAAGCTTTAATAATAATAATAATAATAATGGCACTACAAGTATCAGGAACTGAAAAGTTGCATGCAATAAGATAATTTATCAATGTGTTTATACTGTTTTTATAATAATTGTTTTAGAAATTTTTATTAGTAAAGCCTTTAAAGTTAAAAATAATTTTTCAGTAAAAACAGTTTATTTTGCTAACTTACTTGTGTGAACTCAGTTTATAGAATTGTATCATTATAGATTTGATTTTCTTATAATAATCCAGACTTCCATGCTCTCAACTGAAGATTAATTTTCAAGAGAAAATTTTGTGTGTGACAGTGGAGCCCACTCTCAGTGTGTACTGTTATTGCAGTAGGCAGAAGGGAGGCGTAGCTGGAGTTCTTAGAGGTTTGGGTGCTATTTGAGGTACCATGATACAGGGGAGAAATTCTAGAGACCTAAATATAGGTTTTAGGAAAGGGTAATTATTTTCTACAGCTGAGAAGTGTTACTTTAGTGGAACTTCTTATAGTCAAGGGATAAACAATGAAATGTTTTGATTATTGTATAATTACATCTTTAAAATCATACCGTGGCAGTTTTTTTTCCTGTTTGCATAAGCTAAATTAAAACATTTTTGATTTTACTATCAATAAACACCCTCCACTCCACCCCCATTGTCATAAGAAAAGGGATAATTTGGGTGGAGAATGAATCTCATATTTAGCTCAGTATTTAAAACCAAGAATTGTGGGTCATCAGCCTCTGGGGGAAGGAGCTGGAACTGCCCTGGCAGCTCCCAGACATATGTCCTGGCCATGTCTGTGTTGCGCATGTTGCTAATGAGGAGGTTACTGGATTCCTCCCACTGTGGCTGCTCTTGGTGCTCTCTCTGAGCATGACTCAGAGTCAGCACTGGTAGACATAGAAAGTTCTTGGGCCAGCATTCATCTGTTTACCCTGGTGAAATCAAGTTACAAATATGAGTGTCAGGAACAGCCACAGTGGAAGAAAGAATCCAATCAGCTAAACTCTTAAGCCCTTTATGAACTTTGCAGATCTTGGCAAGGACCTCTGTGTCTGAGGAATCCAGTGAGGCCTGGAGGAAAGCTGGGGACACAGGCAGAACACAGTGTGATCACACAGGCCCAGAGTGGCGAGTAAATAGGAGTTGGCCACTGACCTCTGGTATGTAGGCCCTTCACTTGGTGGAGGTCATCAGCAGCTCTGGTTTTGGAAAGATTCTTTCTTACTCTTCAGACTTCTTTAAGCTCAGTTGGTATTTATGTTTCAAATGTAAGCATTAAATGGACCGAGAGGTTAAGTTATAAGGTAGAATTCCTTATCTTATCCTGATGGAAGACAATGTCCTTAAGGTCTCTTTTTTCAAGGTTTCCTATTATGATATCTTGGTAATATAATTTTTTGTTTTATTAATTCCTACTGGTGGTTGTAAATATTTAAATGAGGATAGTTCACCTTAACTTCTTTGAGGAAAATAATTAAAAAAATAAATTGGTGTTGGAAAAGAATTAAACTTTTTCTTTTAAGAAGTCAGTGGTCAGTGATGTTAATCACAGTTTTCCTTAACTGGGTTATAGACATTTAACATGGGCCGTATTTATTAAAACTTTACTTTTTATTGTTTTCTAGAAGACATTTTCTGTATGTACCTTATAAAGAGGTACCTAAAGAAAAAGTATTTTCTCCTTTCCCCACTCCTAACATTTAATGGAATATATGCATGGTCAGATGTACTTTGCTATCAGTGACTTTATCATAAGAATATTAACTTACATTTTGAGTCTTGTTACAGTTTTCTAGTCCAGAAACCATCTTCACTTTCTTTTACATTGCTGAAATATTATACTTATTAAATCTGTAGTGAAGTCATTGGATGTTTTATCCTACGTCCTAAGTACCTTATCAATGTAGCATCTTAAGTGGTTGGTTTTCTTAGGTGGTTGTATATTTGTCATCTCTGTAACATAAACCATTGCTTTTATAAAGTGCTTACTTATATTTTTTTGGGTGGGGTAATGATCCTGGAGTTTAAACTCAGGGCCTTTTTCCTGAGCTACATTCCTAGCCCTTTTGTTTTATGACAGTGTTTCACTGAGTCACTAAATTGTCCATACTGGGGCTCATATTTGCAGTCCTCTTGCTTCATCCTCCCAGAGTGCTGAGACTGTAGACCTGCACCTCCATGCCTGCTAGGCTATAAGATTGCTTTCAATAACAGCCATCAAATGCAATTGTTGGATCGCTATCCTCAGAATAATTATGGAATCTGTGTTAAATATCTTTTTTTACTTGATTCTTAGTTAATCTTTTAATCCTCCTAACCATTGGTTAAAGCAACTTTAATATGTTTTCACAAAAAGTAAGACATATAGGACTTTGTTTCAAGATAAAGTATAAGGTGCCTTCTCAATTTGGGGGCATAATTTTTGAGATAAAACAAGTTTTGTTTTTTCCATCTAGTTTTCTGAGTTAGATTTTCCTGTATATAAATTTTAAATGACTTTGTTAAACTCTTAATTTGGGAAAAAGTAATTTGGTAATGAAAAAATCCTACTTGTATATTATGTAAACTGATGGCATTACTTGACCCAGAAATGGGTGTGCGTGTGTATTTTTGAGTTGGACATGGTTTATTTCTATCCTTTTAAGTGGCTCTGGTTGTTGGTTGTAGGAGTTGTTCTTGAATTCACACTGTTGATTTTTTTTTTCTCTTTGTAGTAGAACATTTCACTTTGGGAGATGTCAGCTTCCTAATTTTTCATCTTAATTTAGGATTATAGAAGCTTAAAAGCCTGTATTTGTAAAAACATGATGTTATCACTGGAATTATTAATAGACATTGCTGAAGAGAATTTAATACATTGAATTTTAAATATCTAACAAATAAAACTGAATAAACTGAAGTGTTAGGGGATTTCATGTAGTGTCTCTTCTCCTTTCTAAATATAATTTATATCAAAACTCTTTATGCAGAGAGGCTGTGTTCAATCTCTCATTTGTCAAGCAGTAAAGTGCTCTTACATAGGCAGAATGCACCACCTCTATTGCTCTTTCTTGTTTTGCCCAACACTTAGGGTAGTCCTGATTAGACTCCTTTTGATCCTCTAGTTTATATCTCACTTTTTTTTTTCAGGCATGGATGGTACCAATGTTAGGAGGCTAATGCAGGTATAGGGTAGGCTCCTCTATTGGACTATAAGCTCATTAAATACAAGGGAGTTTCTTGCTTATCTTCAGTAGCCAGCTAGGTCTCGTTCAGGCCTTAACTTCGATCCTTAACTGCTATGTTTCTCCTCATCTCAAGGAGCTCATAGGTTCATGAGGAGGACTTTGAGAACACAGGGAAAGAATGATGATGCTAAGGCATACAGACTTCATGGAGGTGATGGAGTGGCTGTGTAACATTTGAAACATGCAGGCACTTACTAGAAATAAAATTTGGAGTATATCAGGTACTTTTTAACAAGGTTTTTGTGCATTCAGAGTACCCTGGTTAGAAGCTCAACAGACAAGCTGTGTGACTCAGTTCTACCTTTAAGTGCAAAAACCATTACTAGAAATTTTCTTTTAAAGTACAAGAATTGTTAGAAATGATAAATGAGCATAGCTCAGCTTTTTTTTGGCAGTGAAGAAAACAGTATTTCAGATTATCATTTAGGATTGTTTTCTGGTTCAGCTCATTTAAAGCAGTGTGATGACTGTTTCTCTAGAGTGTAACACTTTCAATCCTTTTGCATTCAAAATAGTGTCTTGTTAAGGAGCCAAGAATAATGTTTCTCCAATTGCTTTTGCATCACCAAGTTTCATTATTTGCTTTTCTCCCTTTATGTGAGAGAGGTGTGGTTCTAGCACTGTATCCTGATGTCTTTTTAGAGCTAATAGTCTGCCTTTATGATAGAAAATACTGAGTTTTGTCAAGAAGAAAGATTTTAAGAATTTAAAGGGTAATGGGTTTTAAACATTGCAGCGTTGTATTTAGAAAAGCCAGTAGGTGGCAGTATGATGTATAAAATAAAGATTTTAAATGGTGTGAAGTCTCCTTTTCACATAAAAATGTTATTTGCATAGTACGGAATTCAGATTACTTTATAGCTAATCAGTTTTTTTTTTTTTGTAAAATCCTGCACCTTGTTAAATATATTACAATTATTATTTTGTGGGAATGTCTTTTTAATTATATATTTAATACATTATTTAAAAGTTGAGGTTTTGCAGATTCCATGGGAATATGAGGAATTTGGAGAGGGAAGCCACACAGCTCTCCCTATGGGCGCTTCTCTAGTTAGTAGGAGCAGTTGTAGTTAAAGCCACGATGAAGGCAGGCTCGAAGTTACTGCCATGTGAGTACTCTTTTAGAAGTGGGAAAATAGGAATAGTAATCAAGTTACCTGTCATCCTCAGTGTCCCAGCCATGCAAAAATATGGGTGTTTTTCAAGGTAATATTAAGATATCTTTGTTATTCAATTAAATATTACTAACCATACTAAGAAATATTGATTGACAAATTTACTGTATATTTAGGAGAAGTACTATGGTACAGTATTTCATTGATCCCATTAATATAAGTTATAATATTAACTTGTCATTAAGTGTGTTTCTGTATTCCTCCCCTAGGGTTCTCTAAATGCCATGTGGTATGCAGAGGTTGGTTGCTTTTGAGCTTTTAAAAACTATAATAATGCATAGAATACTTGAGTAATTTCAATTGGAGCAAAAATACGTTAATATTTGTCTTAGCTGCTATAAATTTCTCTTTGCTTGCTGGTCTGAAATGAAATAACTGCATCATGCTTTAGCTTGTTTTAATTTCTGCTTAAATGCACATAGTCTGATGACTGTCTGTGGCTATTTTTGCCTTCCTTTTTCCTTGGTCTCTGGCTGTATTTGTGAAGTTTCTTTGATATGCTACTTGGTGATATTTGTAAAGGAGCATTTACAATAATAGATGATGTCTTAACTCCCACATAGGTTAAAGAACTCCGAGAAAAGGCTGAGTTTTACAGGAAACGGGTTCAGGGAACACATTTTTCTCGGGACCATCTGAATCAGATTTTGTCTGATAAGAACTGCTGTTGGGATGTTTCTTCAACCACTAGCTCGGAAGGAAGCCTTAGTAGCAACATCAAAGCACTAGATCTTGCTGGGTGAGATGTTCTTTATGGATGGTGAAAAAGTGTGTTGTACTTACTTGTACCGTGACTACTTAGAATTTGTCTTCTGGTCAAGTGAAGATATGCCAACCACTTATTTCATTATTTTTAATTTATTCTCTGTAAAAATAAAGCTATATATGCTTTTTGTATAATTTGTATATGAAATATAATAACATTCTGGATTTTATAATATTCTTTGTAACAGTCACAATAGAGAGAAAGATGTGGTAGATGTACAAGGACTTTAAAAAGTAAAAGAAAAGGCAACAACAATAAAACTCAGAAAATATAAGCTATTAGTATACAGCTATTATCATTTGTAAATGGATTTTGTGACTTATATAGAGGTTGGCCCCTGATTTTATGGGAAAATTCTGTGCTGTTTTGGGTTTTAAAGTGATTTAAGTATTTCCACAGTGGTTTATAGCAAATAAAAGTGTTTAGTTATTACAGTATGTTAATATAGTCATGCAGACCAAATTTCTAAGTTCTAATTATGTGATAGCTCATTTAAAAGATCTAGTTTTTAATGTGTTAAAAAGATGAAGTATAAAGTTTGAATCAGCAGAGTTGGCCACAAATACATGAGTTTGTGTGCAATTGTAAGCTTAGTACCTGAATTAGTCACACCTTGTTGGGTCCTAGTTTGTGCCTGTAAGTTCCAGTTTTGGGGCTAAGTATGACCTTTGTCATTAGAGGTGCAAATATGTTTGTATTAGGGTAGGGGTAAGGGAACAAAATATATATTTTGGGAATATTTTAGTGGAAACTTCACATGGTAACTCTATTTACTATAAAGTGAACTCCTAATTTGAATTCTTTCTTTAATATCTGGACAAGACAATATGTATGGGACACATTGTGGACGGTGGAAGGAATGACGATCTCACTACAATTAGTATAAACTAGAAAACTCAAACTACTTAAATTTAAAATAAAACTTATTTTACAATGCAGGGATCCCACAAGCCATAAGACTTTGCAGAAATGCCCTCCTACAAAAGTAGAAGAAAAAAGAGATACCTTGGAAGAACAGCCTCAGCAAAGCACCATTGAGAAACTGGGTGTGTCAGAGACTCCTACCATACCTGTTAGGAGGCGGCTGGCTTGGGATGCAGAGAACACCAGTGAAGACATGCAGAAGCAGCCCAGAGAGGAGAAAGAGGAGGAGGAGGAACGAGGAAGGGACAAACAGGCTCATGTGGGAGAGCGAGGGAAATTGGACATACAGGAGAAATCTCAGGCAGACAGTGTGAAAGAAGGGTAAGGGGTTTATGTTTCTCAATGTATTATTGTACATGACTAATGTGTATTTCGTTTTGTCATTAAGTATAGTGGTTTACACTTTTAGTTTTATGACTAATAAGGGGAAGATTTTACCTTAATGTTACAAAGTAGGCACTGCTGTATGGTTTATAACTTGATCTGTTTAGATATTTGAGTCACTAGTAATTGGTAATTAAACACTTGGCTACACGGGGAGGAAGTAGGATTATTTTCATTCATGTTCTATAATTACAATTTGCCAAATTACGAATGTGTCCAGATGAATGACTTTCTTTTTGTTTAAGGAAAAAAAGCTGATGTTTATTAGTATCTGATAGTTTTACTGAAAAAGAAAGTACACTGTTTTTAGTATGTCTTAAAAAGTAATTTCTGAAAATAGCTAATTCTTTTTGTTTTATACGCAGATTGCTTTGGGAATTGGTTCTTTAGCATTGGTAACTTTATGGCTATACTCCAAATCCTTTTTTGAAGTTTCTTTCAAAGTACTTTATATTGATGTGGTAGACTTTCTACTCTCTCACGATCCCTAGCCTCATACCATATTTTTTTAAAAAATTTAATTTATTGGTATATTCTAGGCAGACAGTACAGCTACATTCATTACTGGGATCTTGTACCTTTACAGGCCAGGTCTTGGTTCTCATTTTTTCCCCTTAAATCCTTTTTTGAAGTTTCTTTCAAAGTACTTTATATTGATGTGGTAGACTTTCTACTCTCTCACGATCCCTAGCCTCATACCATATTTTTTTAAAAAATTTAATTTATTGGTATATTCTAGGCAGACAGTACAGCTACATTCATTACTGGGATCTTGTACCTTTACAGGCCAGGTCTTGGTTCTCATTTTTTCCCCTTGTCCCCACCCTCCCTTCACCCCCTCCTCCCCTCCCCCCCTATTGGTTCTCACTTTTTCCCCTTGTCCCCACGCTCCCTTCACCCTCCCCTCCCCTCCCCCCTTCAAACATTTTAATTCCATTTTTACATTTTCTCATATTTTTTTCCTTTTCCCTTATTCCCCCTTCCCTATCCTTCTCACTGTCCCTACACCTTTGGTCCTTTTCTTCCTATTTGCTAATTGTCCCATTAGGATCTTGAGTACTATTTTAGTTTTTCACACCAGAGAAACAATTTGGTATTTGCATATGTGTGCCTTATTTATTTCACTTAGATTCTTTTCTCCTTCATGGTTGTTGCAGCCAGTGTGGAGATTGCCCCCTGGCTTAATGGAAGAATTCTCAGCTGTGTGTTTGCTGACTTGCAGTGATTGTCCCCCTTTTCCATTATTTAGTCCCTTTTAACTGCTATTGACTTATTTTTTCAGAAACAAAATTGCCTTATCTTACTCATTGTATCCTTTACAATGTTGACAAAGTACTTTTGATCAGTTTTCTGGAGCAAATTCTTCCTAATAGATTATTTCCACTTGTAGGTCGGATTCTTCTGTATCCTCAGGAAAAGGAGGCAGGCTTCCTACTCCGAAGCTGAGAGAACTTGGTGGAATCCAAAGGACTCATCATGATCTCACAACTCCAGCTGTTGGTAATGGGCGAACACTGTGCAGTTCTCACTTACCTGGCCTCTTCTACATAAGTTAATTTGATTGAAACCTGGCTTCTGCTTTTTTCAGGTGGAGCCGTTTTAGTGTCCCCATCAAAAGTGAAGCCTCCAATCTCAGAGCAGAGGAGAAAAATATCTTCTCAGGATGATATAGGGACTCCAAAGAAGGATTTTACTAAGGTAAATATTTATATTTGAAGAAAAAGGGGCTTCTTCTAGAACTGACTATTTTAGTCACAAGTAATAAAGGAAAAAGGTTTGAAAAAAATGATACTTCAGATTTAAAGAATTCTGCCCATCTTATGTGGAGATATTACTGTTGACCTACTTCTGGTAAGGGAAATGGATTGAATTTTTGTTTCTTTTTTTTTTTGGCAGTGGCAGTGGATTGCTGCTGCAGAACTTCCAAATATTGGTTAGTTAGTGACTAAACAGGAAGAGGGAGAAGGAAAGCAGTATTATTTATTGAACATATGTTGTGCGATACTTGCATTTAGACTGTGTCCCTGGCACTATCCAGCACTGGAGATGGAGTATGAACAAAACAGACGAGAGTCCTGGTCCTCCTGTGTTTATGATCTGGTAGAGAGAGTAGTGGGAGGCAGGGAGAGACAGAAGGACACATGGCTGGGCTAAGTACCAAGGAGGAATTCCAAACAGGGCAAGTGAATGGGCAGTGGCCTAGCAGGTGCTTGCCCAGAGGGTGGCATTGCAGCAGAACCTGAAGGTGGTGGGAATTGATCCATGCAGATCTTGAAGACATTGTAGGCAAAAGAAAGCAGCAAGTGGAGAGTCCTTGAGGTGAGAAGATGCTTGATTCCCTGAGGGCCAGCCAGGAGGAGGCCAGGTGGCCAAACCAGAGAGCAGTGTAGAGATGACTTCAATGTGCTAAATTGTACAGGGCCCTGTAATCACGGCAGAGACTTTGAATTTTATCCTCAGTGTGATGGGAAGACTCTGTGTAAGGAGTGACATGAGTTAGTTTTTCCAAAGTCACTGTAGCCCCTGTGTGGAGAAGACACATTTGGGGAACAAGAGCAAGTGCAAGAAACTAGAGGTGCGGATTTGGGATTGTGCAGTAGCAGTGAGGGTCATATGGTAAGTTTTATTCTGGAAATACATTGAAGATTTAGCTGACAAGACTTGCTGATGGATCAGAAAGAGGGTGGGAGAAAGCAGAATCAAGAATGATTCAATATTTCTGGCCTGGCAATAAGGATGCAGTTGTCATTTTCTGAGGTGTGCAGAAAAAAAGTATTAGGAAAGATTAAGAGTTCTGTTTGGAGCATGTTCAGTTTGAAAAATTTTTTATTTTGTAGCCAGAAGTTAGCTAGGCAAATGCTCTACCACTGGGCTACATCTCCAGGCTCTTTTTCATTTTGATATAGGGTCTCTCTAGACTATCTAGGCTGACCTTGAGCTTGTGATTCTCTTGTCTCAGCTTTCCAGTGGGATGAATGGTATTAAAGGCATGTGCCCCTGTGCCAGCCTTGATTTGAGGATCTGTGTCATATAGATGGTACAGTCAGTGATGGTGAATCTTTTAGAGATCAGTGCCCAAACTGCAACCCAAAACCCACTTACTGCAAAGTGCCCTGCTACAATTAAACCTGAATTTTCAGGTTTAGTTTAGAAAAAGCAACTCATACTTAACATCTTTTGTCTTAAAAGAAAAACAAATATCATGTGTGTCATAGGTTCACCACCCCTGGTATAGGTATTATTAAAGTCTTGTTATTGGAAGAGATCATCAAAAAAGTGGTTTTTGATAGAGAAGAGTAGGTATAGACATATCTGAAACTTGTTTTTTTTTTTGGTACCGGGGATCGAACTCAGGAGGTAAATCCCTGGCTTGACCTGTTTTTTTGTTTTGTTTTTTTACATTAGTAAGTTGACCAGCAGAAGTGGAAAAGGATCAGCCAAGTGAGGTAGGAACATATAGGAGACTGATATCCTGAAAGTGTGAAGGAAGGAGTACCAGAGATACTGATGACTCAGTAATGTGTGAGAGTTGGTCATTGGATTTAGCACCTTGAGGGCATTAATATTAACAACCTTGATAAAGTACAGCTTAGTGAAAGGGAGGACAAAAAGCAAAATGGAAGTAGAGTCAAGAGAGGAGAGGGGTTGAAGACAGCTGTCACAGAAGTTTGTCCAAGAAGGAAAACAGAATTAACAGAGTGATAGCTGTAAGAAGTGACAACAAGCTGGAAATAGTAACAGCACGTTTGTATATTGATGAGAATAATTTTGATAACAAAGAGGAGTTTGATGAGACAGGAATGGGGGAAAATTGTTGGAAAGATATTGCCAACTCGGAGGAAGGGCTTCGGATCCAGAGGAGAATGGCAGGTTGACTGGGCACTCTGGTATCCCTTCCGTGGTAACAGAGGGAAGGCAGAGTTCTCGGGCGTGGCTTATGAACATAGAAAGGTGTGATGGCAGGAGCTCTTGGAGGCCTTCTCTGATTGCTCATCGGTGATGTCTAAAGAGTGTCCTTGCTGAGAATGAGGCTGGGAAAGAAAATGTTGGAGATTTGAGGGAAGAAAGTGTAGATCTGAGAAAGGGAAGGAGGCACAAAATAGTCTTGTTGGAGAGCGGGAGAGTGAGTGAACCAGGGAAATGGGGATTATCACAGGGCAGTTAAAAACTTTTTGTTAGCACATGTTTGCAATGTACATTGAATGCATTCTTTGTCGGGAATTGGTACACATACGCGTCACATCTCGGTCCTTTATACCTTTCCCTTCCAACCTCCAGATCCCCTTCTCATCTCCAAATAGTCTACCTCCCTGTTTTCTGTCATCTCTCTTTTATTTTTCCCTTTAAATTATTTGTACTTTGGGGTTCTCATATAAGACAAAGAGTGTAATATTTAAACTTTTGTATCTATTTATTTCACTAAGCATTGTGACCCTAAGGTGCATCCATTTTCCTAAAAATGACTCAAATTTATTATTTTTTATGTCTGAGTAGTATTCCGTTGTGTGTGTATATATATATATATATACACCACATTTTCTTTATCCATTTATCTGTTGATGGACATGTAGGCCAGAGGACTGGTCAGAGTAACCAGTTAGCACTCCATGGCTTTTGCTCGGGAACAGGCTGCTGCCTGGAAGATATAAGCTTCTGGAGAGTTGTGTGTGCATGCCTGACTTAGCCACATGGGTGACCTTGTCCATATTTTCAGCTGGGGTTATATGTGTTATTTTCATTTATTGTGGAATTAATTTTTTGCATACTCTAAATAGGCTAATGTTGTCCCTTAACATCGAATGCCATTCTTTGCTTCACAGTGCTCACAATATGGTTTTAACATTTTAAATGCAAACTTTTCAGAAATGTGCAGCTTTCATATTAATAACTTGGTAGAAATCACTTCATGTGAGTTTTTTAAATTAAATGTTGTTGGTACAATTTATAGATACATGATAAGCACGTTCATCACAGGGAATTTGTACCTGTACATGAATACCTTGACTCTGCTTTTTTCCCCATTCTTCTTCCTTCCCCTCAACCCATCTTCCCCTTCCTGTTGTTTACAGAAGCCCCATTTCCATTTCCGCATCCTTGCCTGCTCTGGGTATTATTATTTTTAAAACTTTTGCAGTTGGGTAAGTGAGAAGCTGGTACCTCAGTGCTTTTGTTTTGTAATTATTTGAGTACCAGGGAAGTAGAATATGTTAACTATATCTGTGTGCATATGAATTGCTTATTTTATTTTTCAGCTTTTAGATTTCTTTTTATTACTTTGAAGGATATGTATGTAGCAATGGTGATAATTTGTTGTCAGTGATATACATTGTATATTTTCCCCAAATTTGTCGTATTCCTTTTAAGTTTTAAAATGTTTATAGTCTTTGTTTTTATCCAGTCAAATCTGTTTATGTTGGTTGCTTTGCTTTTATACCTACCTCCCCACCCTTCTAGGTAAGTTACATACATTTTCCTCATATTTCCTCCTATTTGCTTTTTTTCATTTGAATGTTTGATCTCTTTATATATGCACACACATATATGTATCTTATATGTATCTTTTTTTTTTTTTTTGTCATTTAGAAAGGAAGTTGTGCTCTCTCCCTACTGACTTCTCCTGCTGCTGGTATAAAAACAGTTGATCCTTTGCCTTTGCGGGAAGATGCTGAAGGCAGTATACCCAGAGTTCCTGAGACAACTCTTCCAGTTTCACAAATTCCAGGATATCCAGCAGACACCCGTGGACATCCACCTTCCCCGCAGTATACTCCGTCTTTCTGGCACCCTTCTCGTCGGATTCAGGGATCTCTAAGAGATCCAGAATTTCAACATAATGGTAATTTTCTTTCTTTCTTTTGCTTTAACTTTTTATCTTTTAAAATGAAAGTGTAATATCAATAGGTAAAATGCAATAAGAATGTACTATGTATTAATACATGATTTTTGTTTTTAGTTAATTAAATAAATCTTGAAGTAGGAAAAAAAAACTCTGTAGGACACTGATGTGCTGCACCAAGTTCACTTTTCACTTTTTAGAGGTAGGAGGTGTCTCTCAAGATCTGCATACAAAAAAAAAAAATTAGCAGGGACAAGGGAAAAAAATGAGAACCAAGACCTGTCATGTAAAGGTACAAGATCCCAGTAATGAATGTAACTGTACTGTATACCTAAAATGTACGAATAAACTCAATGAGGAAAAACAGAAAAGGTCTGGTTACACCTACGGGTAACCCACTGGAGAGAGGTGGCACCTCCTATCCAGATGTGACAACCTAAAGTACCTGTAGCCATTGCCCGGTGCTACCTGTACATAGAATTCAAGGTCAGAAGTGATTTTCCTTTAATTTTATTAGGCATTGCTTTTCTGTTTTCTACACTCCACTGTTAGTTTTGGGAAGGCTTGTGCTATTCTACGCTGCATCCTTTATCTGTCGTGTTTCCTTTCTGGCAGCTTTTGGGATTTTCTCTTCTCACCCAGTGCTCTGATGTTTTACATTGATGTGTCTCAAAGTGGGTCTGTCTCATTCATTTTGCTGGTACAGTGGACCCTTGACTTAGGGACTCAATTTGTTTGTGAGGGCTGATTGTAACTCAAGTTGGTCAGTTGAAAGTTGGGCTCATCTACACCACTTTCAAAGTCTCTCTCTTGATTACAGGCAGATCTCAGTGTCCTTAGAGAGACATTGGCCCAGGATTTCTCAGTTAACCCCTCACAGGAAAGGATGTAATGTTCCTTCCAGAATTCTTAAGGATTAAATCTCTGTCAGACCATGTAGAAGCACAGGGCCAGTCCACATTTGGGTCATACCTCAAGACTTCCTTTGTAAGTTAAAACTGAAATTCTGGTCGTAACCCAAGTTGTTTGTATGTCAGGCCAGTCATAACTTGAGGGTCCACTGTACTCTGTAGACCTTTCAGTCTGGAAAATTCTTACTTCTGGGAAATTTTCTTAAATAGTAATTTATTTCCCTTCATTTTCTGTTTCCTTTTTCAGGTACTGCCATTACTAAGATGTTAGACATAATTGCTTATTTTTTTCTGTTGTCTACCTCTTTTTATTTTAATATGAATTTTCCCATCATTTCTTTGTTTTAATTTGAAAGTTTTAATTTTCTGCCTCTTCCATTTTTAAATTTCTTTATAGTATTTTTACCTTAGTAAAAGACTTTAATACTGCAAAGATTTTTTAATACAGCATCCCATTCTTATTGCATGGATGGAATGTTTTATTTCTTTGAATAGAGACATTTTATGTGTTTCTATGACATATGTATGTATGTTTTGCGTGTGGTATGCTTGCTCTCAGGTGAGCTGTGTGTCCTCTAGTCACAGTAGTTCTCAGATGCTGTTAGGAACAAAACCTCCACTCTCCTTTTTGGTGGGAGAGAAGCAGTTATTCAGCTGTGTAAATTTAGAGAAGAATCAAGTGTCTTAACTTGTTTTGTAAGAAGATTTTCAACCAGTTTCCGGCTTCAGCTTACCTTCACTAAAGTTTTGAGTGAGACTTGGTACTTCCAAACCCAAGCCATTAGGGAACAAATTAATTTTATCTTGGATTCACTTATTTGCTGGTTTAAGAATTCACCTCTGGGCTTTTCCCCTTCCATGTTTTCATTTTCCGAACATTTCTTACTGTTTTCTTATCTTCCATTTTCTTTGTCCTGTGGCTTTATATCACTTTTATAAATGTGTATGTTAATTTGTCATCTCTAAAGAGATGTTTCTTTACAGTTAAGTCATTATTAGTATTGAATTCTAAGAGGTTATTCATGGTTTGCATAGTTGCTAAGTACACTATAAATTGCTAAGTACACAATAATGAGCAGCCTATTGGTAGTAACTTCTATCAAGATAAAAAAAATGAGTAGAGTTTCTGCTGTTGTACTTTTATTGAGAATTTACTATAATTGTATTAGTCTGTTTTGTGCTGCTATGTTAGAATACTTGAGGCTGCGTAATTTATTATGAATAGAAATCGTTTGGCTTGTCGTTCTAAAGGCTGGGAAATGCCAGGGCTCTAGGAGACCACATGAGACATAGTGGGCAAGAGGCTGCGTCTGACATGTGCGTTCTTGCTGCAGCATTCCCTGGCATGCTGAAGAAGAGGTAGGAGAAGGCTAAACATCTCTGAAAGGTCCCACCTCCCAGTGTCATCTAGGTGGCAGTTCATTTCAACGTGAATTTTGAAGGGACAGACATTCAGTCCATATCATTAATATGTGCTGTTTGGTGGCTTTGAAGAATAATGCTTTTTGCCTTTTTTTTTCCAAGTGGGAAAAGCAAAGATGAACAATTTCCAGTTACTTCATACTGAAGCCTTTAATAATGAAGGTATTTTCACATAATATACCAAAAAACATGAAATTTTATTGTATGTTAATTTAGAATTGTAAGTGATCTTACATTTGATTAGCACTTCATGGCTTACAGAGTATTTCCACAGATATATTTCATTAGATCCTTGAAATCCTGGGATGGTGTGAAGTTATCCCCATTTGAAAGTGAGTAAACTGGGACCTATGTGGTGAAGAATCATTTCTAGGGAAACATGATAAGAGACTGTGCCTTGCATCGCAGCAGTGTCTGACTTTCTGTGTTTCTCCTCTATCCAGCTTGGGGATTCAGGAATATACCACAATAATATCCGTATTTTTCCAAATATCTGTACTTTTGTCAAGTTTCAATATGCCCCAAATTATATAATTAGGAAAATAGACTTTGTTCTGCTATGTAGTTTTCTGATAAATTCATTTGCTTCTAATTGAGGCAGGAGAACTTTTGAATACTTATGGAAAAAATCAGATTCTTCCTAAGAAGTATGGAATTACTGAATTTATGAAGTTTGAATTTGGAAATAAACTTGAACTTAATACCTTATATATTAGAAGCTTACATACATTAAAGGTGCTTTCTTCCTTTAGTAAGTTTAGGACTATTTTTTCAGGATTCAGCGAAGCTAGAAATCAAGTTGTTATGTTTTCAGATGCAAAATATTTCATAACTTTGAATCTTGTTCTGTTTTCTTTTTAGTGGAAGAACAATGTTTATAAATAACCTTATAATAGATTTGCTTGCTCAGAATAGGGTATTTCAGTAATAAGGATAGCATATTAAATTCCAACCTTATTTTTGTACTTCATGAGATTACTTTACAAATGTGATATAAATGCCATGTTAAGGTATAGCATTTTATTTTTAAAAATTTTAGAAAAACTTTTTGCCTCAAATAACTGCTTTTGAAAGTAGGGTAGTTCTTGATGAACTATTTCCAACTAATACTGAAATCATAAGCTGTGTTTAGTTAATGATGTTATGGGATTTCAGAAAGGGAAAATGCTCATTTAATGCCTAAGTGTTTATTGCTATATCTGGAAAATTACCATGAAATAAGAAAATGTTAAAAATCTTACACTGAATGTATATTTTTCTAATATACATAGCATTAACTTTACAAGGCTTGATACTTTTAATTTCTTTAATGTATGTAGAACATACTATTTGTTTAAGAAATATTTTTGCACTGGAAATAATTTTGGAATTCTTTTATTACAGATGATGACAGATTATCTGAGATTTCTGCTCGCTCTGCAGCTTCTAGTCTTCAGGCTTTTCAAACTTTGACACGGGCTCAGAAAAGGAAGGAGAATTTCTGGGGCAAAACATAAACCTACTCGAATTTTTTTTATGCACAGAACTATTGGCATAATTTTCCTTTGTTGATCACTGTGTTAAGAGTTTTTAAGTGTTTAAATTTTCTTCTGGTATTTCCAAGTTAAATTATTTGATGTTTTTCACTACATCATTTTACTTGGAAAATTTTAACCTAGCTTATACAAATTTAATTTCTAAAAATTTCTTTTACATCTCTCCCCAGATAAGGTATAGATTATGTGGTTCTTCACGTGCTCTTTCTTCTGTATTAGGGGTTGAGGATAGCTGGGAGAGTTGTGAATTTCTCCCATCCTGGGAATATTCTGAAGAGATGAAGTGAAGTGAAAATTAAGATCCAAATGTGGAGTATGTATTTCTGTAAGACTGGTTCTTTGTATCTTTGTAGATATCATAAAAATAATTTGTTGTCCCTTTAACATTTGCTTTAGTATTTCTTTGTTTTTGTACCTTCTATATAAGCATTATTTAAGATAATTGTATTTTGAAATTACCAGCTGTATATATTTTTCTTTATGTAACACAGTTTGGTGAGAGAATATGTATATTTTTTATCTTTGTGTGTATTCTATTTGCATAATAACTTGGGCTTACATTTAAATGAGGTCTGGATTTTGAAAAATTATTTGTATAATGGAGAACTAAAACTTTGTAGATGTTTTAAAATAAAAATTGTTCAACTGTGTTTGTCTTTTCTAGAAGGTTATTATATGGAGAAGGTTCATCAAAAGTATAATACTGTTACAGCTGTCAAAATGCAATGCAACTGGGACTAGGGATTTAGTTCAGTGGTGCCGCTGCCTGCCTAGCAAGCACAAGGACCCAAGTTTGATCCCCGTTACTCCCCCCAATGCAGTGCAACTAAATCTAGAACTTTTTATATAAATGTAGGACAAATATGGAATTTTAAAAGCAGGCTTATTTTTAAAAATTTAACAAATGATTTGATTATATTCACTTACAGGACTTTCCATTGTCTTACTCTGTTTTAGAAATCACAATGAATTTATTTCTAAAAATAGGGATTTTTATAAAACATAAGATTTTTAAAATAATACATAAAAAGTTCTGAAAATATACAGAATATTAATGCTTCTAAAATGCCATTTGGTTAAAAGTGCTTTTGTAAACCATTGGTTCACAACAAGTTTGTTAAAAATGTCATGTAAGATTGTAAAGAATCATAGGCATACAAATATTTGCTTATATTCTAGTGACCTTTTAAGGTAACTTATTCATAAAGAAACTTACTGAGACACTAAACATGGAAATAAAAAGTTTAGAATTATGGAATAACTGGATTTTAGAATGTAAATTGGCTTCTAGACAAATGTATTCTGAAGCATGTTAGTTGTAAAGTAATTTTGGAGCTGGCTGTCCCTGGAAAAGCTTTGCGATAGTAACCATTTTCTTCCCTTTAAGTAGTTGGTTTAGTTGGCTAAGACAATTTTCAATGACCACTTGTCTATGGTAAAGAAATTAGAGTAAACTTTCAGGGCCTTAACTCAGTCTATGTTACTTAAGTACAGATTGATATCTGGTTGTGCCTATTACAGTGAATCACATATGAACTTGATCTACCAGGTATCTGACTAGGGTACGGTTTTCGAGAGACAAGGTCGTGATCCTACTGTCTGTCTTGTCTGATGATTTAACTACCTCTCTTAATAACTCATTGTCCAGGGGGAAAATAGTGTTGGGGAGTCATTACTGGTTGATCACTTTTACTAGAGAATACTTTAGAGAATCTCTTGTACTAGAGAATGAGTTTGAGTTGGTGGGTAGTCTTAGTAACAAGGGAACTGTCTCATGAGATTTGCTAGTGTTGAGCTGTGATCGCTAATTCAATTTTTGCCAATTTTATGAAAGCATACTTTTATGTATAATTAATTGGGAATGTTAAATATTATAGCTCACTGAGTTTGGACATATGTATGCATCTGTGAAGCCAATACCACAATCAAGATATACTTTCACCACCTGAAAGTATTGGCATTTCCCTTTAAATCAAACTCTTTTCACTGCTATTCTTTCTGTTGGTAATATTAACTTGGAAAAGTATTATAAAAATGAAATCATCTTTTATGCCTAGCTTTTGCTTAGTCTATTTTTTGAGTTACTCATGTTTCAGTGTGCATGTTCTCAATTATTCACCCCACCAGTGTACTTTTGTGTTGTTTGGCAGTTTGAAACTAAAATGAATAAAACTGCTGTTTCTATTTGAGTGTGAGTCCTTGTACAGACACATGCTTTCATTTCTCTTTAGAAAAATATCTATGAAAGTCAACCTTTATTTACCTTTAGTGCCTGCTTTGAGTATATGTATACAAGCACAATATGCTTGAATCAACATTTTTTTTTTTTGCACAGGGTTTCACTATGTAGTTTAAAGTGGCCATAAACTCACTCTGTAGCCCAGGCTGGCCTTAGACTCATGGCAATCCTCCTGCCTCAGCCTCTGGAGTGCTGGGTGCTGAGATTACAGGCGTGAGGCACTGTGCCTAGTTAGTCCAAATCAAAACATTCTAAACTCTCTTTTTGTCTAAATTGGTATCTCATAATCCATTCTGGAGAGTGAACATCAAAATCACAATGGAAGGTTTTTCCAAAATACAAATACCTGCCCTTTTGCTACCTCCACCTCCATCCTCACCCTAGATGCTGAAATTCTCAGCATTTTGCTGTTTGAGAACCCAAATAAAAATGCTCAAAACATACATGTATGAGAGGCTTTGCATGATAATTTATGTCTCATCTCTGGATCCCCATAGGAGTCTGAATTCCAAGTTTAAAACTTTTGAAGGTTGATTTTTGATGATTAAAAATAAACATGAATATGCTTAGTACATTGTAGGAAATATTACTGTTCAATTTAGCATAAATCCTCATTTTACAGATGAGGTCCAGGAGTCTCATTGCTGGCCTGAGAGTTCTAAGCTGAGGAATTAAATCTAAGTCATCTTACTTGAAATCCACCCACACTACCTTCTCTGTGGAGACTTTCTGCTAAAATGTAAGACTTATGATGATTGAATTCTCTGTCGTTGATTCATTTGGGAGTTAATTTTCCACTTTGCCTTCTTGGAAGAGAAATAGTTACCTCTCTTTTCTAGTCAGGAAAACTGAGTGTGGGCACTGAATCATTGTACAAATGGATTCAACCAGAATGAAAGTGTGTTAACATTCAAAACAAATTTATCCATATATAGAACCATGTTGAGGTTAGCTACCCAGGGAGCTTCAGGGTAGATTACATAGCCTTGTTATAATTTCATGTGCATATAGCAGACACCAAAAATTTTTTATCCTGACTTCTGAAGGTTTACCAAAGGAACAGATCTAAACTGGTAATAATCCTAGAATCGTTTATGTTTGATTTTGGAATATGCTTTGGATACTTTTATGTATAGTGAGTAGTGGCCATGTTAACATTCTCAGGGTTCAGTTGCCACAGTCGGGTTCCAGTGTTACTGCTGCACAAAGGCTACTCTGGGAAGAAGGTTGCCACTGAACAGGTAGGGTTGTGCTCCACCGGGCCTGGTCACAGCTTGCCCTGCAGTTCACATCCAACAATTGATTTCTTCAGCTCTGTACTCATGGATTTTCATGCCAGTGTTGGCTTTGTCCTCTAATCTAATTTAGATTAGTGGTGAGTGGAGGCCCAAAAAGAACCAGGCCTTTGCTTTCAGGCTCAGAGCCAAGCTTCTGTAAGTCCCATTTACTGTTTCTTTCCTACCCTTGTGCTCTCAAGCAGGGTCAGCTCTCCCATCCTACTACCCCCTGTCACATGGCAGATGTAAAAGAGCAGCCATCCTAAAGATGGCATCCATTTCTCTTCCAACAAGCATTCCACCCCCTCGTCTCACTAGGCCCCACAGCCCTAGCAGAGCATTTTCTTGGAAACTGAGTAAGAAATGAGGATTTAGGGGACACTGAGCTCCTTTTGGAAGTCTATCTAGGATCGAGGCTAGTAGATAGAGTGATGTTTGGGGAGTTTACATCTCAAAAGACCACATAATGGATAATGTAGATTATGGTGAAGATTGTTTCGCCATTGTATATTCCACTACAGTATGCTGCAACTGGACCATAGGCCCATTGTTTAAAGTTCAGGACTTTTGTGAACAGGTTGTTAAATCATCAATAGTTTGAAACTGGCCATGGTGGGAATATTTATATCACTGAAATCAGCAGATGCTATAAAGCAGGGCTTCTCTCTCTGCCCTCCAGTGGCGGTTTGCAAGCCCACTTCTGCAGCCACTACATCATTTCTTTCCTGTCTTTCCATATTATTTGCCTGATGGAAAAAATAACTTCCTTCAGAAAGGAGATAAGCAACTCAAGCTACGTTACTATAAGATTTATGATAGCATTCATGTTTCCCTTGGCTTATAAAAATAAAATAGTTTGGTTCAGTTTCTTTTCTTGGTTGAAATCCATCTAGAAAATACAAATTAGTCACAAGCAGCGGGTAGTGCTGGACTTATGAAGGGAGAATACCCCTGACAGGCCTGTAGAACATGGGCCTGGAAATCTGTAGATATAATCTTACAAGTGACTGATATTTGGGTAGTTGGGAACCACTGGCTTTAGAGATATAAAAATCTATGGTCTCAACTCCACCTTGAGCAAGCCTTTTAAACTTTGAGATTATGCTCCTCTTGCAGATGAAGAGAATAGTTTACCAATTTAGTTTGGACATTAAATAGCATAAGGCCTATAAAGGTGTTTCACCTATGCTATTCAAAATTTTTTATTATAATGCAAATTTTTATTAAAACAATAGGTAATAAAAGACCTGTTTCACAGAGGATAAGGTTAAATCTGGCACAGAGAAGTCAAGGTGTCCTGAAATTGTAGTATCTGTCATCACAGACCTATCCTTTGTGACCTACATTCAGCTTACACAGAGGCAGTTTGGGGTAGGAGTGTTGAAATGATTTGTCTGTTTCCGTTATGTGGCAGAGCAAAAATGATTCTGACTGCAGTATTGTGACTCAGCAATTGAAGAAGCTGGAATCAATTACCTGATATATGCAAACCATATTAGAGAAACCATGAATTGGAGATGTTATCAGGTAGAGTCAGAGAATGGGGAGATGGAGGACCATGATAGTTACTGATGAAAGGGAAGATAGGCAAGATAGGTCCCTGGAGGAATACATACATAATATTAAAGATTTCTTATGTTTGCTCTAAGTTGTTTCTCTTTTAAGCAAAAGTCTAGTTTGTAATCTCAAGAAGAAAGTAAAAACTAACCTAAATGCCACACAGATAGGTAAATGTAGATGTTTTACATTCATAATTTCAATTATAGTCAGTTTGGACATCTCACTCAGGAAATTTTACCCACAATGAGAACCTTAGCGTTCAGTGTTCCCGTTAAGTAAGTATTCAGGTCAAAACAGTTAAGGTGCTGGGAAAATAAAATTGAAAATAGGTTGTGTGACAATACTATTACTCTGGTTCTACAAAGAACCCAGACTGTAATAAAGTTTACTGTGTAATTTTGCAGAAATGAAACTC